GAGACGGAAGGCTGCGGCAGGTGCGATGGCGATGCCCGCCACGCAGGCCAGCGCGATGAAGGTCAGCAGCACCGAGTGGAAGCCGTCCCTGAAGCGGGATGGGCGCGAGTAGGCAGCAGCTTCATTTCGCTGGGGGCAAAGCCAAGCAAGGGTTAGTGGGGGGGCACCTGCATAGGGCTGGGGGGAGGAGGGGCAGAGACCCCATTCTGCACTGCATTTGGGGTTGTTGAGGCTAAAACAGAGCAAGGGGAATCAGTGCTGCGCTGATTCTCCCAGAACCCTCAGCTGGGGCAGAGCTGGTGTCACTGGGGTGAGGTTTGGTGCACCCACCTGCACATCGCACGGGGCGTTGCTGACACTGGTGTCACTGGGGCTGCAGGAGGAGGCAGAGCCTGGCCAAGCCCAGGCAGCAGCGACCTGCTGCTCCCCTGCTCCTAGCACCCAAGGCTGCTCGCCAGGGCACCCCCAGCCCAGGCTGCCCCCCTCCAGGGCAGGCAGTAGCCCCTTGAAGCCCAGGTTCAATGAGCTCCTGTCCAGCTGGAGGTCAACAAGGGCCAGATACAGCCCAAGGGGTTAGTGGCAAAGGATGGGGCACTGCAGCACTGGGTCCAGGGCAGCAATTGCTGTTCCCAGGGGACTTCCCCAAATGGGGCTGGGTCTCCCCTGTGGCAGGACAGGGGGGGATATGGCAGCGTGGCCAGAGGGCTGGTGCCACTTCCCAGCTGCGGTGGCCGGGGTACAGGTCCTCCCCATTGCTGTCCTCAGCTGTGACACAGAGCAGTCCCTGCCACCTCGCAGGCAGTGCCTCCAGGGCTCCTTCCCTGTGGCTGGGGGGGGGCAGCCCAATCCGCGCCATGCTGAGACATGAGGGTGCTGAGCCCTTGCTGGATGAGACACTCTCCCTCCCCAAGGCCAAGACCCGCCAGGGCCTTGTCCCAGAGCCACTGGTGATCAGGATGCTGCCCACCACCAGCCAGGTCCTGGGGCAGCACAGGGATGCTGTGGCAGCAGCACCACCAAATACCTGTGCCCAATGAGATACCAGAGACCAGCATTACCTCACTGCCATGGCCTCCCATTGGCCACGAGCCTGATGAGGTTACCGAGGGAACACTGCGTCATCGTCACCTACATCATCATCACCATCATCAGCTGGGGATGCCCCCCGCCCCGGGAGTACCCACTGCAGCCTGCCCTCCCAGTCTCGCCAGCCCCATACGTGGGGACCAGTCTCACTGATGCCAGGGTCCAGCCAGGGGTATCCACAAGGAACCTCCCCAAGGGACCCAAGGAGGAGCAGCTCTGCAGCCCCCGGAGGTGCCAGAAGGTCTGAGGGGACAGAAGGGACCTCCTTCCCAAGGCCTGCCCACGTCCTGCTCTCCCCCTGCCTCTCTACATCCTTCCTTCCCCAAATCTTGCACCAGTCCCACTGAGTTCAGAGCCTGGGGAGAGGAATGAAGGAAAAGTACAAGCTGGTCTGGGCTGGGGAAGCCTGTGCAGAAGAGAGCTCGCAAAGCTGCCTCAGCCTCCTCTGAGTTCCAGCTCCGTCATCTCTGCCATTTCTCCCAGCTCCTGTCACTTGTCACATCAAAAGGCATTGCCATAGTGATGCTCCACACGTTGCTGATGGAGAGAGGTTGCCTCTGTAGCCAGGCCACCCCTTTCTTCATGGCGTCCTCCTCCTCCAAGGTCCCCCCTTCCTTCCTCCCTGCCCACAGCTATGGCTACAGGGCAGGAGGGTGGGAAACAGAGCTGAGGGATGTGCTGCACCGCTTCTCCTTCCCTGGCTGCAAACACGGGAGCCAGGATCTCTCCCCCATCTCCAGCCCCTGCTCCCCTCCAAGACACTGTTCCTGGGGGTCCCCAGAGAAGCACGGGGAGGAGGGTGCCCCTCTCCGAGCAGATGGCTCCTGCTCCATCCCTGCCTTCAGCTGCTTTGCGATTCTCTGGGGGCACGATGGCATTTTGCCTGCCTTGCCGTGGTCTCTGGGGTGCCCCAGGCGCAGCCTGGCGCTGAGGTGCCCAGGCCACAGCTAAAGTGGCATGCACAGGTTGGAGGGAGGTGAGGGTGAGGATGAGCCTCGAGGGGTACAGCCTGCAGCCCCCTAATCTTGGATGGAGGGGGGGAAAGCCTCCAGGAGACCCTCCCAAACTGCCTTCAAACCTTGCGGAGCTTTTGTTTTGGAAAGAGCCGAGTGCTCTGGGAGCACAGGCAGCCGGGCAGCATCACGCTGCTGGGTGCAGTCCTGCTCCAGCCCATCCCAGATAAATCAAGTCTGTCTCCAAAACAGCAGCCCGAACACCGCCCAGAGCCCTCTGCTTCCCAGTTGCCCCACAGACCCACAGGGATGCTTTGCTCACGAAGACCCCTATGCCTCAGGGCTGGGGCACAGCGCGCTCCCCGGCTCATTGCCAGCGGCAGGACCCCCACCACCCTGTCCCCGGCCACCCCAGCCCCGAGGGACCATCACACCTTGCTCCTACCTCTCCCACTCCTGTTTGCACGATCTTCAGGCCCAGCTCTGCCTCCAGCTCTGCCTTCACTTGCTCTGTGAATGGAGAGGAGATGGTCAGGGGGGTGCTCCCCACCACCCAAGAGACCCCCCCCCCAGAGACAGAGCCAAGGGATACCCCCAACAGCTGCCCACTCCACACCAGCTCCCAGTTTAGCCAAGGGCACTGGGGTGTATGGTGGGAGTCCCCCCCTTCCCAGTCCCTGTACGGGCACCCCGTAACCTGGCAGGGGGAAGAGAGGAGCAGGACCAGGGGGACCCCTGCCCAACTCACCAGCCTGGCTGGACACATCTGCCAGCGAGAGGTTCTGGGGGTTCTGCCGGATGCGGAAGGTGAGTGCGGGTCCCACGACGCTGCCGGGGAGGGGAACACAGTGTGAGACCAGGCAGTGCAGACCCCATCCCCACCACAGCCCGATCCCTCCCGGTCCCCCACCCAGGGTGGCTGCCGCATGGCCGGGGCTGTGACAGCAGCATCCCACGGCCCCGCTCCCCTCACCTGATGTTGATGAAGCTGGCTGTGGAGGGGTGGAGGTGCTTGGCGAGAAGCTCCAGCAGCCGCACGCCAGCGGCCAGCCCCAGGGGCCTGTGGGGACAGCAGCGGGGTGAGGAGCGGGTGGTGGGGATCAGGAGAGGGGCAGCAGGGGCGAGCCCACCCTCCCCATGGCTGGGGAAGGAGGACAGGCAGGCTCAAGGGGTCCCAGGCATGCAGCGAGGGCTGTGCTGGCTGCAGGGGGGTCGAGGTGAGCAGGAGGTAAGAGCGTGGGGATGTGCGGTGATGGGGGAGAGTTGATCGCCCCCCCTACCCTTGCACAGAAGCAGTTGTGCACACAAATTTGGCTGAGCCCATCCCAGCAGCGAGTTCTGGCCTTGGCGTGGGCTGAAAGAGGATGGCTTTGGGGTGGGAGAAGGGCTGTGGGTGGGGAGGGGACGGGGGAGCTGAGCCCACTGGAGACACGACCCCATCAGAGATCTAAACAGGGTCAGCCACGCGTGTGGAGCCGTGACAGCCAGTAGAGGATGGGGGGAGGGAGGGGGTGATACAGCCCCTCCACCCATGCACACCCCCTCACCCGACCCCCAGCTCTCACTTCTGGTCCGTGACGATGTAGCCATACTCGTCCGGTGGCCGCGTGCCCCGCTGCGCCCCACCATCCTTCGCCTCCACGTAGCTCTTCTTCTCCACCACGATAGACTTCCCAGGGCTGAGCATGTCCCCACCGTGTCCCTGCTGTGGCTCAGCCTGGGGGGGTGGTGAGGATGCTGCCCTGCCCCTCGGCCAGTCCCCTGGAGAGCTGCTGGTTGGGATTTTGGGGGGCAGCACTGTGGAGGAAGGTGGCACTGGCTCCTCTCCATGCTGCATGTCCCCCTCTGTCACCTGAAGGGAGGGAAAGGGAGGAGCTGGGACCCCCGAGGAGACCCTCACGGGGGGATGCCCCCCTGACGAAGACACACATCCCACCTGTGGCATGGCACCTCCTGCAGCACCACCCTGCTGCAAACCCACCCGTTTCGCTGTGGGCACTTCGGGGCCAGCAACACCTGGGAAGGAGAGAGATGGAAGTCCTGCAGCACCTGCCCTGAGAGGCAACACTCCCTACTCTGAAACGGGGCGTGCTGGCACCCCCCGCTGCCAGTCCCATCCCTGTGCCCCGCTCACCAGAGCTCTGGAGCAGCTGGAGGAGGGTGGAGAGGCTGCTCAGCTGCTGGGGGCTCAGCTCCGGCAGCCCTACACCATAGCTAGCCAGGAGGGAAGCCAATCTCTTCAGGGCAGCGTCTGCAAGAGGATGGACGCAGCATCAGGTTGGATGCTCTGCATCCCCACGGGGACCACGGGCCAGGGATGTGGCAGCTGGGACAGGCTGGGTTGGGGAGATACACTGGCCACAGGCATGAAGCCAAAGACAAGGGAGAGTCTGAGCCACGAGGAATGTGACTGTTGGGGACAGGGTGGGGATGAGGGATGGTGCCTGGCTAGAGGACATGGTACCCGTCTGCGCAGAGTGTAGCTGGGCAGCCAGGGACACTGGCTGCTCCCTCTCCTCCATGTCCCTGTAGTCACTGGGGAGCCGCAAGCTGTGCTGGAGCCTGGTGCTGGCAGGATCCGGGCGGCCGGCTTTCTCTCTGGGCAGGGAGAGCATCCCCAAGTCCTGGAAGAGATGCCCCCCATCCGTTCCCGGCTGCCCACCATAGGAGGACACAGGGCCAGCCCCAAAAAGGGCTTGGGCAGGGACCCGGCCCAGCAGCGAGGTGGTCTCAGGGCTCTGCCTGGCTGAGCCGCCGGGGAGCTGGTGAGCGCTGTCCTGGTAGCCAAACTGCAACCAAAACACAGAGCCGCCATGGTCAAACCCCACGGGGGCCCTGCAACCCCGTGGCAGAGTACCCCCAAACCTGGGGCACCCCAGCACCAGCAGAAGGAAGGTACTGGGAGCGCAACAGCTCCCTGTCCATCCCTACCTTTCCGCCCAGGAGAAGGGGGTTCGTCCCCATAGCTTACCTTGTGATAGGAGTAGGGGTTAAGCAGAGCATCTTCGTAGCCAAGCTGGGGTGGGGGGGACAGCAGGAGGTGCTCCAGGTACCGCTGCACCAGGGGGGAGGGCAGCAGCGGCGGGGGCTGCCCCAGATGTTGAGCCGCTGGCAGGCTGGGGTCCACGGGGAGCGGGGCTCGCCGGGTGGAGCTGCGGAGGGGCAGGAACCTCGGAGGCAAAGAGCGCTGGGGTGAGTTACCTGGGTACGGGGGGAGGTCCCCACCAAAACCCCAATTTTTTTTGGGGGTGGGGGTGAAGCCCTCACTGCCCTGCCAGGCTCTGCTCGCAGGTTGGTGGCTGGTGCTGCCCTACCTGTCCCTAGCTGCCGGCTCCAGCGAGGGCGGCGGGCGGAGGCGGGGGATGCGCTCCATCTCCTGCGAGATCACATACTGGGTGATACCGTCCTGCCACGAGAGCCCTGCCATGGGAAGGGGCTGTGAGACATGGAGGAGACCTGGGGACCAGGAGGCAAGTGCACGGGAGACCACCCTGGTGTCCTGACCCTGTGTCCCATGGCCTGGGTTTGGCCCTGCTCCTCCCAGAATCAGCTGGACCCCTCCTCAGCCCACGCTGGCCCCAGGGCCAGCAGGACCGCAGATAGCCTGAGTGCCACTAGGCAACGCTACCTGACACACACTCCCCCCAGTCCCCCTTTACCTTGTGCCATGAGATGCCGTAAGACATCCTGCAGGCGCTGGAGCACAGGAGAGGTGACGTGGAAGTAGGGTCTGTCCTGCACGGAGCCCACCTGGCACTGCCCAAACAGCCCATCTGCAAGAGAGAGGAGACGTCGGGGCTGGAGGGATGGATGCCCTGGGGGGAGGGTCTCTGGGCACAGCCCCACCTTTCTCCTGCCATGCCCCCCTCCCCTCCACTGCACCCCAAGTTCCCCTGCAAGGCAACCCTACACCCTCCGCACCCCCTTGGGAAGGAAGAAGGGATCTCTGCACCCCCGCTGGCCGCTTACCCTGCACGCACACCTCCTGGGGGGAGCACAGCCTCCGGTCAAACAGACAGCCTGGGACAGACAGACAGACAGGCAGACCAGTTAGCACAGCGTCCAAAGGGGGGGCTCCAACGGGGTTTGTTCATCAACAGCTGCTTGGGAACACCCATGGAAGTGCCATGGGGGTGCGATGCGGGGAAGGGAGGAGGGGGGGAGGGGAACAGCCTGGTAGCCCAGGGCATGGCCTCGGTGCCAGCCTTCCCCCCACTTCAAAGCCAAGATGGGGGCTGTGTACAGAGCCTGGCCCTGGCTCTGGGGGAGCTGGGGGAAGACCTGGAGCTTTTTGGGGTGCTGGCAGTCAGGAAGGGAAAGCTGAGGGGGCAGAGACGTGCAAGATCATGTCTGTTGCCCTCCCACATGTGGCACTACGAGGCAGGGACACAGCCCTGCACCCTGTGACACCCACTCTCCCTGCGAGGGGGACCCCAAAGCACACATGCAGCGAGGGAATGGGGACGTCTCTCCACGCCCTTCGGGGGGCAGCACTTGGGCAGGGGGCGGCTTCCCCCTTCCCCTCCCCCCTCCCCGTCTCGGTCCAAGACCGTCAGCAGCGAGACGGCAGCAGGCGATGACTCAGCCCCGGATGGCGAGGAAGGAACGAGAAAACAACCGGGGGGAGGGGAGGGAGGGGCCCGCCGAGCCCGCCGCGGGGGAAGGGGGCAAGTGGGGATGGGGGTCCCCGTAACCGGGGCACCCACGGGCCCCGTATCCCCCCCG